TATATATATATATATATATGAGGTTTGCCTACGCGAGCTCCCCGCCGACTCTAATGTCTCTTTCTGCATCTGTGAAGTGAAACGTCTCCGCTATGCGTGATAAATTTGGAGCCAACGCGTTCTGCGTCCCCAGCGAGACTGCCACGGCCAACAGCAAAACTGTACCAGAAGCAAACGCAACACACGCAAGGGCAGTACTCAACTATAAACGAGCAAACAGGTGCGACTGATGCAGGCCGAAACAAATGCAACTAGTGCATGCAAGGACACAACGCGCAGTCACTAATACCAACACATGCAGACAAAACAACACACGAGGAAACAAAATAAACTACTGCTATAGTGGGGATGTAGGGCAAAACAAGCACAACGAATTCATATAGCAGGAAAAGGGCAACTGACGTCTAAGAAGGAAAAGAGCAGCTAACTAAAGTAGATTTGTTTTGTGCATGCAAACACAACCCAACATAAAGCTAAGCCTACAGATAAGCAGAAAGAATATCCGTCTCCTTCGGCATACAAGCAAGCCGTGAATTGCGGCAAACAACTCACAAATAAAACACATTGGGTTGTCTCAAACGTACACCTCAGCAAAGCACATGATAGCAACTAATGAAGCTCTCTAGAGCCAACGCATGCAGCGCTCGGGTGCATGAATGTGGATCTCACTCGTGAAGTGGTATTGCAGCAGCTCTGAAGCCTGCCCCCTTTGGTGAAACGCCATGACAACGTCATGTTGCTTCTCTGGTTTTATTGCTCCTTCTTCATCCACTTGCTTGTTTACACTCGGGAGAGATTTCGATTTAAAGGAAAAAATGCGGGACATGAATGCCTGCACCTTCACTAGGAAATGAGCCGCTGAAGTGGCCTTCAACGTTGCTGCCGCCTCTTTTGATGACTTCTTCCTCAAGAATCGCTGCTCCTCCTGCTGCTGGCTATCTTTCTCTCTATCTGCTGCAAGACATTCTGCTGCTTGAGCCACATCCTCATCAGTAAAGGCCCAGTTTGAGGCATCGCTATTGCCTTCTGCTGTCGAGGCCTCCGCGAACTGAAAGTGGGCGCTGTTTACCTCTTCCATGGTTAAGAAAGCGGCGGTATCTGTCCGCCCTCGCCGTTCCCGTTGCTGTTGCTGTTGTTGTTGCTGCTGCTGCGGCTGCCGTTGTTGTTGCTGCTGCTGCTGGTGTTGCTGTTGAGGTTGCTTCTGCTGACCAAAGGAGTCGAAGTGGCTATCCTCGTCCTCTGCAGTCATCAGGGCTGAAGGGATGGAATAAGGAAGCGACATTGTAGCGCACAAGGGGCAAATTCACTTGGCTGCATGCAGGGGAAAGGGGGGACTTCAGACGAAGTGAATGGACTGATGCGTCATGGGGCAGTTGCCACTGCTACGCTGCTGTTGCATGTGGTAAGAGGAATCTACTGAATGAGATGCGCCATGGAAGAGTGCAGTTTTCGCCGTCTTGAGCTGAGGTCGAGGGCTGAGGAACGGGGTGATGGATGCCTCAGTAGGGAGGCTGAAGGAAGGTCTGAAAAAGACTAATGAAAGGAAAGGAGGAAATATAGGCTTCAGAGAGACTCTCTACACCTGAAATGCGGGAAGCGGCGGCTGCCAGCCGTCCGTCGATGCGGTGTTACGACAGGCGACTCTGCAACTATAGTTGTTGCCTCTGTAACCTTTTGGCTGCAAAAAGAACCCAATTTGGGACCTCTAAACAAATTCAAAGGAGGAAATAAAGGGATCTTCTGCTGGAAACTTCATTTCTCCCTACCGCTGGGCGGTTCAATGTCTACAGCACCCAGTGAATTGTGGAGGGAATCAGAGGCGGAAAGCGGGGGCTATTTTTGAATGAATGAGGTGCGGCTTGCTTAATATGAAAGAAGAAATGAAGATAAGGAGCTGGGATGCAAAAACCACAGAAGCCGTTGACAGTCAGAGCCTCCGGACCATCTGCGCCCGCCGTTGCCTCTGCGAAACGGCTTCCCCGATCCTCTTATGCAGGTTGCACACCAGCGTTATCTGGGTAAATTTAGATTATAAGCGATGGTTTTATTTTGAAATAAAACTAAATCAACAGCGTTTAATCCCAAGAAACTGTATTTTGAACTTTCGTGGCGTGTGTGCGACATTTCGATGACGGTGCAGCTGCGCTGACATGCCCTTTCCACCTTTTTTTAAATATCGGACCGCAGCAGAGGACCTTTTCCCCCTCTTAGCTGTAAGCCAGGCATATCTACTCGTGAACAACTTCGCTGCCTTTTCGTTCGGAAGGACATGAAGAAGTGTAACCAACTGCCTGCGAGGTGTACACACATCCAAATGTCAAAATAAAGCCGCTCAATTACTTTCGGCGATGCAGGAACTTTTGAACGTTAAGTAGGTAATGACCCAAGGCTTGGGTGGAGGCTCCTCTTCCTGCTGCAGCTTTAACGGCACGAGGATACGCGGAATTCCTTAGATATTTGCGTTGTTCCGTGGAAGCATCACTGGAGTTTAACTAACAGTTCACTATGTGCAACATTGTAGATCATTTCAGCACATCGCGGACTGTTAGTTGTACTTCTGTCTCAAGAGCCAGATAGTTCTGCCTGGCCATGACTACCTGTGGCTACTTGTGCTTAGTTTTGGCTGGCTAAGTTGGGTGCGCAGACTCAGTGACTTTTGCATCCAACTGCTCCAGAGGAAAGCACGCAAAGCACTTGCATGCAAAAGATGCACGTTTATGCGTATGCATGCATATATACCTATATATATGCGAATTAAGTCCTAAAGGAGTTCTGTTGCTTTATTTGGCTACCAGTGCAACTCAGGTGCCCAAAGAGGCCCCGCTTCGTTAGACGTTGCATGTTGAATAATGATAATTGCATTTTCTGGACGACAAACGTCTAAGGAAAATGACAGTGAGGCACAGCTGGCTGTAATTGTTGTTTTCTCGGTGTATTATCATCTCCTATAGACGCGTAAAGCATAATAAAGCTGCCTGTCGCAGCGAAACCCTGAAACAAATGCCCCAACGTTCTTCCTAGGGATAATCTGGAACAAGCGCACTTGTGGCAAAACAAGCAGACGAGTCGCAGGTGCAGCAGCCGCAGCAGGTGAAGCAGCGGCAGCAGCAATGTGCGTTTGAATATGATTGTTTTGCACCTCATGCGCTACCTTCAGAGAACGGGATAAGAACGTAATGCAACACACGATTGTTGTTGAACAGGCGGAAGACTACGAGTTCTGTGCGCCACTAGACACGATTGTTGTTGAAGTGGCGGAGGACTCTGAGTGCAACCTGTACAACCGCATCAATGGGGTTTGAAGTGTCGAGCTAATTGTCAGTGAACCCTTCGTGGCTGTTCAAACGCATTGCATTCAGATGGTGTACTAACGGCTCGGAGTGTGCATCTCTTTTCTGTTATTTCAAGGCATTCATGAACAGACTGATCAGACTTCTTATTCCTGCTGCTGCTGCCTCTGCTGCTCGTGCTGCTGCTGCTGCTGCTGCTGCTGGTTGTATTGCAAGGATCCTACGAAGGCGGAGGCAGCAAAAGACGCATTTTATTCTTGGTGTAAACTCTATGATGTACCACAACAAGTAAATCTATATATATACTTTATTTATTAAGGTGTTTAAGTAAATATATAGATTTACTTGTAGTGGTACATAATAGCCAGTATCCTAGACCGTAAAGCATTTCACTGTGCAGCAGGCGTGTCTCGTGTACCGAAAGCATCAAACGAAGAAATGCCGTCCGCCGAATAGTATTACTGGACACTTATATTGCACTGAAGGACAAACTAAGAAGATTCGCTGACACTGCAGAAGCAGAGTTGGTGTCTTCAAGCACGGGACAGAGAAAGGTAATGATGCGCCCGCTGGCACCAATGCGGAAACCGAAAAGAAGTATAAACGAACGACAGCATGTTTGTTCTGTCGTAGCGTAACAGGAGATGTACGTGTACTTATTACAGGACAAGCAAACGGCAGATCCCAATCCCGAGAAAATCCCAAGTAAATCCCAAATCGAAAGTCCCAACTCCAAATCCCAAACATAATAGCCAGTATCCTAAACCGTAAAGCATTTCACTGTGCAGCATGCGTGTCTCGTGTACCAAAAGCATCAAACGAAGAAATGCCGTCCGCCGAATAGTATTACTGGACACTATATATTGCACTGAAGGACAAAATAAGAAGATTCGCTGACACTGCAGACGCAGAGTTGGTGTCTTCAAGCACGGGACAGAGAAAGGTAATGATGCGCCCGCTGGCACCAATGCGGAAACCGAAAAGAAGTATAAACGAACGACAGCATGTTTGTTCTGTCGTAGCGTAACAGGAGATGTACGTGTACTTATTACAGGACAAGCAAACGGCAGATCCCAATCCCGAGAAAATCCCAAGTAAATCCCAAATCGAAAGTCCCAACTCCAAATCCCAAACAGGGAAAAATAATCCCAAATCCCAAATAATTCCAAATCGGTTTAAGGTGTACGGTTTAGGGTTTAGGGTTTAGGGTTTGTATGTGTGTGTGCATTTTTAAGCGAATAGGAGGACAGGTGTAGATGTAGATCGTTTTGGTTATTTATTACGTGATTCTTCTTGTGTTCCTTTTTTTGTTCCTTTTTCTTCTCTTTTTTCTCCTTATTTCCCTTTTTGTCTTATTAATCAATCAAGATATTCTTTATTTAATTGTCTTTATCTGCATAAAAAGGTAAGCTAACCCTAAACCCTAAACCCTCATAATTATTAGGCTCTCTGCTGCTGCTGCTACTGCTGCAGTTGTAGCTGAAGATGCTACAGAAAACAACTTTACGGGAGC